GACACGATACATTTTTAGAAATCAATCTACCCAATAATCCACTATAGGTGTAACACACCTTTGCTCCAACATCGCCCACGAGGAAGGGATCCACGACTGAGAAATCTTTTTACATGCCAATGATTTCCAAGGTGGGTGGTGAATGATGTCTGTGATATCAATCAATTTATTTTGATTCATAACAACTTTGAGTTAAATGGACGCCTGATTTTGCAAACACCTGGGAATTAAATGACTCCTAGCTACGCGAGCATTTTTATCCATACTCTCGAACAAGAAGTGATATTTGGATATTATCTGTAACCTATTCACTATTGTAGATCTATTGAGGATATTTTTATATGAACGCATGGTGGGAGAGCTCTACATGACTTTTATACACAGATACACAACTGCCACTAGAGAATTAAATTCCCACTAGACTATTCTTCTACAAGTATGATTTTTAGAAGTATTAATAGATTATTATATATCACCAACATTAAGATATCCACGTTATTTTTCACGAAACACATTTTTATTTAAATTTTTATAACTAGCATCCAACCAATCTAAAGAAATCCTTAATCTTAATCTATAGCCAATACTTACGCTTCAAAAGAATTCCTAAGGAGAACAATATAAATTTAGACTCATTTCATCATGCATTTTCATCACAGAAACTACCTCTTAAAATAATAGTTATCTAGTTTACAAAAAGAAACTAAAACATACTTATGCATACTTATGGTATTTTGTTTTAATTATAATGTAAGCAAATTGTTTCATTTCCCCAAAAGAGACTCCCTAAATGTTAACTTAGTTCCCTTAATTAATAACACATTCAGCGAACTTCCATTTAAGACGACAACCACACAATTTACTATCGCTACTGACATCTTCCAAGACCAAATGCTTTCCCAAGCATTTATGCATATAATAAACCACGATGTCAAATCTGACAGATCATTGTCACCGATACAACTTACATTCCTCCAAGTACAGAAGTTAAAATAGACACCCTCACCTTGCCTGTGATAGATCGAATATAGTCTACTTGATTGTTTGCAATGTCTGTGACCGATGCAATTATATTAGTGAAATTGGCTCGGTATTTCTTTTCAGATTCAACAATCACAAAAAGATAATTAGAAACAACTCTAAATACTCTATAACACAACAATCCAACTTACCTGATCATAGTACAGACAATGTCAGATGCGTCCTTCTAGCCTCTTCCTATTCTCAGTTAAGGTGCAGGAAATCTGAAAGCAATTTCATTAAGAAATTTAATACCGACAATTTAGGATTAAACCAATACATAGGAATTCGCAATGCATATACTTTGTACAAAAATAACAACTGAAAGATCTTAATTTATTTTTATTGTATGTTCCCATTTTTATCATCACTATTTTATAGTAATTATTATTAGTTTTATTATTATTATTATTATTAGTAGTAGTAGTAGTAGTATATATTATATTCCTATTAATATACTAGTAAAACAAAGTAAAAGGGCTTATAATCTGCACACCTCAATATTTATAATCGGCGTCATCTGATCGGAGTAAGAAACAAAAAAGAAGAATTAGAAGTCCTAGTAGGATTCATTTTTGGCGACCACAATCTTAACAACATAATATATGCAGATAACACAGTGTTAATAGCCGACACAGAATGGTAACTACAAGAACTCCTACAAGAACTCCTAATTTATTTGTTGCTTGACTTCCATTTCCTAGTTTTCGTAATAATGATCATATTGAATGCACAAACGGAAAAGACAAGTTCAGGCTACATGTAAATATTTTAAAATGGTGCTCAGTTTGCAATAGAAACTCATTGTAAATGCCCCCCCCCCAGATTGCATTTACAGCGTTAACTTCGTCTGTAACAAATTCGCGAAGATAAGAATTTAAAAAGGAAGTTTTTTTTTTAATTTCAAAAGGTAATTTGCAGTTTAGAGTCGAATATGTCCTCAACAGATTGTTACGTCACGAAACATGATTTAACCCCTCACTACAAACAACTGCCTTTATCTAAGATGACCACCTCCAATCCCACTCTGTGTTGAACTCAATTTTTTGTCTCTATACGCCCACCTCGGATACTCAACATAGTCTGGGTTTAATAGTATCTTTATTAGAAGAACAGCATCTCTTTTTATTATATTACAAAATGATTATAAATATGAAGGAAAATTTTTAATTTTAAAAAGTCACTTGCCATTCAGAGGAGAATTTATTAGATCATGAAATATGATTTAGCCCCTGACTGCAAAAAAAAATGCCTTTAACTAAGATGACCACCCAATCACTCTTTGTATCACACTCTCTGTTGTCTACGTTCCGCTCCCTTTCTGTTTAAGTTTCTTTCTTAATATATGATACCAAGCGTGTCATACATCATACATAGGTAATTACAAGCATATCAATATATAGAGCAGTTAAATATTTTTCTTATTCATATAAATACTGACGGATAAAAATTCTAAGTTCTCTTATATAAAAACCGATAATTATTCTGGGTTGTATTTTTTGTTATGGCGTGTATAGAAGTCTGATATAATTTTTATTGGTAGATTTTCAATAGACTCATAATTTTAGATCATTATAAATAAGGTTTAGCATGGTGTCAAAGAAAGATAATATATTGCTTTGTTTCATAATAAACTTCGATTGTATGCATGATGTTGTTTAGTTTTTTGTTACAAAATCAAATAATACTGCTGTTCAAATAAATATTAATAGAGTATCGTCAATATATCAGTATTATATATTTTTGAAGAGACTAGCTTCTAGACTTTCTAAGAGGAAACAAAATAAAACACCGTTAAGAGGCGACAACATCGGTAATCCGAATTTTTGTCTATATTTTGATAATTTTATCTGTCGGTAAGGAAAGGTTACTATTTTACTAGATGTTTTTAAGCAATTTAAGCATTTGTCAACACGTACGTTAGTGTATAGGGATGTAAACTGGCCATGTGTTTATCTATCATATTTAGGTTTTTATTTTTATTTTTCGTCATGCTCGCTGGGATGTTTAATACATGACTTGTTTGTAGTAGCAGTATTATAAAGATTTTGGTTATGGCTTTCACTGGTATATGGGAAGCACTTTTAGTTCCAGATATCCGTATTGTATTGTTATGCAGGTGCATAAAAAGCCAATACATCGAGCACCAAAAATTTGAATTTTAAAATTAAAGTACTGCACACACACACATACATATATATATATATATATATATATATATATATATATATATATATATATATATATATGCCTGTACAATGGATAAACTATCATTTAAATTACACAAAATTTAAAATAACAGTGAGATTTGATTATAATAGAAACATTTGCCAAAATTACACAAAAATATCTTGAAATACTAATGGAGTGCATTTATTCAATAAAATCGCCTTTGGCTTCAAACACGGCCTCCAAACGACTTCGGAATCTCCTGAAACTTTTCTGGGCGGCCTCCTTGATTAAGTTGGTGAATGCTGCCATAATACTTGCCTTTAGTTCATCTTTGGTCTTACGAGGGGTTTTGTTGATCTCTCGCTCAACTGCGGTCCACACATAATAATCAAGGGGGTTGCAGTCTAAGGAGTTAGGTGACCAAATGTAAGGGGTGATGTTGTCGCAGAAATTGTCTGACAGCCATAAATGTTTTCACCTAATTGTGTGACATGGTGCAGAGTCCTGTTACCAGATATAGGGTCTTCCAGAAGCCATTCTAATGACCCAGAGCACCACTACCTTCTCAAAGTACTTGATGTAGGCCTCCGTGTTGAGTTTGAAGCCTTCCCCAACACATTCGGGAGTTCTTTTTCTGATCATAAGCATCAGAGTGAGTTTTTCGAGCTGACGTACCTTCGTAATCACCATTAGATTCATCCAACTCTTTCCGAATCCTCTGCACTGTACTCAAATTGTCACCTAAGCACTCTGAAATGTTCGTAATAGGGCTTCCGAATAACTAAGCAGTACAGAATGCCGTTTCCAAATTTTTGGCCGAATGAATTGCGTCATGGTGCTCTTTTTCTGACAGGTTGTATCCAATTGATCCTACTATACTGTGCTGTTGACAAAATAAAAAGCAAACAATGCACATGCGCGAAATTAAAAATATTAAATGGTGACAATTTACCCATTGCAACTGTATGTATGGATGTATAACCACAATATAATACTATCATATAAAGGCATCTGAATGTGTGTTATTTATTACTATACGATTATTTATCTGCTTAATTTATTGCGCACCAGTCGCTTTTAGCAATATTCGTGTTTTGTTGCAGACTTCTCGTTTATTAAATTTTTAGTACTTGGCACAGGCTTTACCTGAGGCTGTATTCTTGTTAGATCTCAGATTGGATTCTAAACAAACCAAAGCTGTCATTTCTGCTGAGAAGCAAAGTACAAAAACTATTCAATTGTTTAAACAGGAAGCAGAATATTTTTTAAGGTACAAAATGAATATCTCTGAGTTTCACGATAACCAAGATTATCCATAACACTTAAACTAAGTTGATTTCTGGCCTGTTTCTTATTTCTATTATTTTATCTCGATGGGTAGAACTGATAGACCAAAGCGATTGATAATATCTTGATCGGCTCCTATTGGCTTCAAAAATAAAGCGTGGCATTTTTTTTTTTTTTTTTTTTTTTGAGTGAGAAAAAATGTTCTTGGGGTTTTCTCGGAGTGGAATTTTTTATGAGATTGAAGAAAAGTTTTAATTTATGGTTCAAATATCAGAAGTAGAAATTAAATATCAATATATTTCTCTCCACAATTCCATATTTCATATCATTTTATTTAATTTTATGTTTTTTTTTTTTTTTTTTTTTACATGCAAAGGAATTTTTTGCGAAAGAGAATATGTTTTGCAGACCCTTCCCGAAAATACGGTTCTAAACTAAACAGAAGTGAAATAAAATCGAAAAAATGATACAAATGACTTTTTCGAAGACAAAATTCACATGTTGGTTTTCTCTTGTTTCAGTATCCTATTTGCTGATATAGTTGGATTTACAGCACTTGCATCACAATGCACTGCTCAAGAACTGGTGAGAATTTTGAATGAATTGTTCGGTAGATTTGATCAACTGGCTAAGGTGAGTAATCGAATTGTAATTCAGATCAATCTTTATCGGTCACTAAAAAAGAAAGGTTAAACCTTAAAAAAGAATTCTTAAACGTAAAACTTCAAAAAGAAGTGAAATAGTTAAACGAAAAATGTAAAAAAGAATGGTTACACTTTAAACTTAAAAAAGAAAAAGAATGCTTAAACCTAAAACTTTAAAAAGATAATGGTTAAGAGAAAAATATGATTAGACCTAAAACTTAAAAAAGAAAAAGTATGGATAAACGCAAAACTAAAAAAAATAGGGTTAACTTTGGACAAAAAAGAAGCGTTAAACTTAAAACTTAAAAACGAAAAAGAATGGTTAAACGTAAAAGGTATGGTTAATGGTAAAACTTTAAAAAGTGAAAGAAAGGTTAAACGTAAATCTTGTGAAAGAAAAAGAATGGCTAAACGTAAAACTTATAAAAGAAAATGAAATGTTAAACTTAAATCTTAAAACAGAAAAATGAATGGTTAATCTGAGAAAAGAAAAAGAATGGTTAAACATAAGACGTAAAACTTATAAGAGAAAAAAAATTGTTAAAATTAAATCTTACAAACGGAAAAGAATAGTTAAACGTAGATCTTATAAAAGAAAAATGAACGGCTAAACATAAATCTTTAAAAAGAAAAGGAATTTTTAAACGTAAAACTTAAAAAATTAAAAGAATGACTAAACGTTAAACGTAAAAACGAAAAGGTATGATTAATCGTTTACGTTTGTATAACATAAAAAAAGAAATAGTATGGCTAAACGTAAAACTTAAACACGCAAAATAATGTTTAGACATAAAAATTTTAAAAGAAAAAGAATTGTTAAATGTAAAACTTACAAAAGAAAAAGAATGGTAAAGCATAAAACTTTTAAAAAAATGGTTAAACGTAAAACTTAAAAAAAAAAATTAAAATGCATAGCGCAAGTAAACAATATTTTGTTTCTTCTTTTTGTTTCTATGTTTTCGTAACCAAAATCAAACTCCCAAATCCTAACCATTCCAGATACCGATTTCAAATTTGACCTTGCCAACTTTACGATATCTCATTTTTACGCTCACATCAGCATGGATAGGATTCTTCCTTCTGCAGTAGCAAAGTTGCACACCTGATATTACACAATGCTCATCGAACTCATCTCAATTAATGCCTCAATAGAGTGGCAAAATTAATCTATGATTAATAAACTGTTTTCAAGCCATTAGCAATTTGATGTCTTGTGTCAGACTATCTTAATCATTTAATCTATTCAGCATTAATTACTAAGTATAATTCAAAACTCCAACCAGCTACAGCAATTATAGAGGAGCTCTGAATGTCCTGGGCAATTTGGACATTAAAGCACGAGAATTGCTTCGAAGAGAGCCTCGAAGCAATTCTCCGATTTCCAATTTATGACTGCTTATACATGTTTATCTATTTCTTATTTTTCCATATTTCTTCTGTCTTTGTAACACTAAATGTTTTTTTTTTAACTTTGTTTCTGTTAGTCTTTTGATTGACCATAACCAGTTGAATTAGACTTTTTATTTTTCTTTCGTTTTTTGACATTCAGTGATTCAATTTCAAATCGGTACTTTGTTCATATTTATTTTTGTACAATTAAATTGTTGCGCTAATCTTCAAAATGGTGATACGCCACCTGCTTTGAAAATCAGCACTGAAAATCTAGTGCTAATCTGGGCTTGAACGCCGACCTCTTACATCAGTATATAATATCCAACTGTCTCAACCACAAAGCGAGTTCTTCTAGCAGTGGCTATTTGTCAGTACTTAGTCAGAGACAAGGCTACAGTAGTAATGTGCACGGCAATGATCGAAGTTGGTACATTAGTGAATTTGTCTGCGAGAAAAGCTTGTTAAGTATTATATATCTACCGGAATGGAAATTTGATTTCGTATGTTCTTTAGTTTGTACTTCAAATCATTTGGGCTGAGTTTTATTTCTTACGTCTGTGCTTAGATTATATTATTCTCAACTCGCTGCGTTTTCACACTAATAGTATTCAATGTCTTTCACTGGAGTATCCCGAGGAAGTCTCCTCAAAACTCAAGTATTCTCTAAACAATTCTTGTCAATTCCAACAATGCTTTTGTTTGTGGCAATTCTTCCTTTGATTTCCAGTTCTTTTACAAGGGTCTTTGAGGCGGCTTCAAATTTCTGATATTTGTCGTTTGCAATCAAGTGAGAGAAGTCGTTTAGATCTTAGAATTTATGACATTCATTTCACACTTCAGTTATTACTGGAGATAAATCAAAACAATAAAAATTAAATCAAAATTCTAAGAATTATTGATTTTTCATGCATCTGCAAAATCATTTAAACTATTGTCTTCGAAAATTTACCAAAGTGAAAAGCCGACTCCATTCCTAAATTTCTATTAAATCCTCCGGAAAATAATTATCAGGTTAGACCAATTCCAATCACCTGAAGAAGGCTGGAGCGTACAACACGCTCCAGCCTTCTTCAGGTGATTGGAATTTCGAATCAGGGTAAATTGTTCTAGTTCAACGTGTCATGCCTCTTCCGGCTGTCTCGGTTATTTCCCTTTAACTCAACTCTCCAAGTTATTTTTGGTTCACCACTGCTATAGGCTGGTATTTAACTCACAACTCTTTGGGTCTAGTTACTGGATCTTACCAACGCCTTTATCCACTGGGCCATGTGTGAAGGACGGAGTGTACAACGGCCGAAATTTTGTGAATATAGCAATGAAGATGAGGATAACAGTTCGAATAATGTAAATAATCATAATACCTCATCTCAGAGAAAGAAAGCAGTAAAAGAATTTATGACAGACACGATAAAAGAGCAAATTATTTCCAAAAGAAATCCCCGTGGCAAAAAAATCAAATGATGGACACTTTTACTTGTTCAAAATGCATGACATCAAACATTTTCTAATTATTTTGGTTCATAGATGAGATAGTTAACTATTTACCAACGGGGAACGTGGCTCGAAACCATTAATCAACCAGAGATTCAAATATTTATTTTCAATGCAAGCAACTGTCTCTTGGAAAATTGGCGTAACATAATCTTCTCACCCTATTTTCCCAAATTCGGTCTTGTGTTGGAACAAGTAAAGATTAATAGATATAAATAATTTCCCGTTTTCCATTGTTTTCATGAGAACTCTGAATCTTTTCTTTTAATTATTATTTGCTTTCCGTTGAAGTATTTGTTCTTTCTTTTCAGAATCTTATTCCATTGCTGTCTTCTTTTTCAGAACAACAACTGCCTACGCATTAAAATCCTCGGTGATTGCTATTACTGTGTGAGTGGACTGCCCGAGGCCAGGCCAGACCACGCGAAATGCTGCGTGGAGATGGGCCTGGACATGATTGATGCCATTTGGTAAGTAGAGTCTTGAAAAATGGCCATTTTTTTATTTTATTTTGTTTTATATTTGTTTGTCTTTAGTGCTTTTTTTTATCTCTCTTTCCTACTATTGATGTTCAATAGCTGGGGAATCAGAAGTATTAACTAATAAAAGGTGCATGCACTCATGTAATGAGCTGAACCTATTGAATAATGAAGAAAATGAGAAACTGTAATTCGGAAAATTTTAGCATAAGTATCTCCCGCCTTCATCGCACAGACGAAAAAGCGAATAATGATTTTCAGATACAAAACCTACCAATTAATCCCTAGCCTTTTCCAACATCGTCAATCACCCCTTCTTTCTTCTTGAATCCACTTCATCTTTAATCTTTTCCTCAATTCAGTTTTCCCTATTCTCAGTCTTTTCTTTCACTTTCATTCCCGGTACTCGTGGCATTCTCACCTTACTTGGGATGAAATGATTAAAAGAATATATATATATATATATATATATATATATATATATATATTTTGAAGAAAAACAGACCACTTTAAGGTTCGATTATAATAATTTATTTCCCCAGAGCCCTTTTAAAGGACTCTGGATCATCAGATAGCACTTCCAAAAGATGAAACGAAATGAAATGAAAATTCATACTTTTGATGGGTCGTGTAAGTTTTTGTTATTTAACAGAGGGGGTAATGAAGAGTGGTTTGAGAGACATGGTCGAGTTTAGAGAGGGTTTATTTTAATATTTCTTTCAATCATACTTAGTATTGGGGGAGGAGGGACCAGACCATGACCTATTTAATCGGTTAACTTAACGGAAGTGATATATTGAAAAGGGAGGGGAGAAGAGAGAAAAAGAAAATAAAGAGAAAGAAGGGGGAATTAAAGAGAAAGAGGCTGTAAATAGGTTTCACGTAGGAAGGAGAGGGGTGGTATAGTTGTAGCAATTTATATAAAAAAATAGATTTTAATGTTTGATAGTAAGTTAAATGTCTGAAAAAATCTACGAAGAAATTAATTTGATTCTTGTTAGCAATTTAAATATTTAACTCTTTTACAAATAATTTAGGGATTTAATATAAGTTAAATACTGTATTTATTAACACATTCATAGAGAACACATTAAAAGATTTTTTTTAAAATATAACAGTTAACCGATAATAATCTTTTAATATTGTAAAAGACTGTTAAGATAACATCTTTATCAGTTTGAATCTAAGTCATGAATGTAATTTGTAACTATATATATATATATGTGTGTATATATATATATATATATATATATATATATATATATATATATATATATATATATATATATAAATTAACAAGTGTATTAGTCATACATAGAAATAAATTCATCTTCGAATTCTACTCTTATTAAAAGGGAAAGTAACTTACTTAGACGGACAATTCTTGAAAGTGCCCCTACAGAATCTTATCAAAATACCAATCTGCGCCCCGGAGTTTTTCAAATATCTCCGTTCCTGAAAGAAATACATGACTATAAAAATGTTAAAAATTAAAAGAATACGTTTAGATTCATAATCTACTATTTAAAATATATTATACATAAATTAATCCTGTACGTGCAAATATATGTGCGTATACGTATATTTTTTATCTTTCTCATATCTATTTATCTCTCTTTCTCTTTTGTTCATCTCCCCATCTCTCTTTCTCTAAATAGATAGCGTGACAAAATCCTGACTATTTACACGAATTGTTCTGTTAATGTTTTGTCCACACACACACACACACATACACACACACACACACACACACATATATATATATATATATATAAGAGAGAGAGAGAGAGAGAAAGAAAGAAAGAGAGAGTCAGATAGACAGACAGACAGACAGAGAATGAGATAGATAGATAGATAGATAGATGTAGAAATGATAAAGAGATAAGGTCAAGCATATATGTTAGCGATTATATACACATCCAGCTAAGCGAATAATTATTTAATCAATGAATATAGTATAACATAGCTATAAAGTCTATATTAATAATTACACATATATCTACGTTTACAGTACGACTCAGAGTTTCATAACTTTGCCAATCATCAAAAAAAGTTACGAACTGTTCAATATGGTTATTTCTTTTTTAATTCCTGGGTCTCATGGGAACAATGCTACATTGTGTGTGGATTCAAAGTTCAAGATTATTATAAATATAATATATTATTGGGTTACAAATTCAAAAACAATTTGTTGGTAGGTGGATATCGAAAAATAAGTTATTAATAGTAATTTTAATAGGGATATTGATCCGTTAATGTGTATTGAGTCAACGGATAAGATTATTGCAATACAAACTAAAATAAATTGGTACTTACCAAATAAAAAGTGTGACAAATGCTTTGGTATTATCTTCCCCAGTTGCAGTCTCTCTTAAGCCATCTATCAAAACCCGGAAACATTTACCCTAAAACACTTTAAAACTAGGGCCGTCAACTTCTGGTTTAAATTATGACCACTTGAAAACTATAACTTCGTAACCTTGTCAACAATCCATGGAACTAAATTTTATTTCAGCCCATACATTGATAATATTCATCCACTAAATAATAACATCCGCTAAATCAATTCCTTTTTCTTGTATCTGTATTGCATAGTGTCTCAACAAAAATTCTTTATACAAAGAAACGAGCATTAATTATAAAATAGACAAATATCGTTCCTTTGACATTGATCCATCTCATATCTGATCACCTCAAATATTAATGATAATTGAAACTTATACTATGTTTATGTTAAAACTTAATTTCTGTATAATAATTTGATTTGTTTGGGGCGACATAATTACTCCTCTTACCACTTTCTTCATGGCCTCAGATTCATATATGCGTGAGCAGCTGTACATCAATGAGTGACTCCCGTTTTCATCGTGAACATATTTTCAACATTAAAAGTTTATCTCAGAATATATGATCTTGAACATAAAGATCGTGACGCATTTCTTACTAGAACCAGCTGTCGACATTTGAGCTCAGATAAAAGACGTGTACTTCAGTGCTGACTTACTATGCCTGTAGATCTTTAACACATATTCTAAAAATGTGGTGCAGTAAAATCCTCCGAGTCCCCTTTACTGGATAGTTTCTCCTTGTTTCATACTAAACAAAGCTATGTAAATATCAACTAGTAAAAAAACTCTAAAAAATGATGAAAAACTTGATTCTGAAATTATTCAGTCACCAATTCGAGTAATGAATGCTTGTAGCTTTGGACTGACGGTTCATGTTACCTATTTCCTTAGCAAAGAATTGATAATAAATGAAGACTGCATCTCCCACGTTGCTTCAAACTGATAGACGTGATCAGCCAGACAAGGCTCTCTTCAAATCTTTTCGGTCATAAATCTTCAGACTAGGTCTAAATTTTGCACATCTGGATTAAGATAACTTTTCTGAAAGCCATAAATTGGATTCCCTCAAACCCATAATGATCAAATTATGTCTTCCTATTCTGCTAAGTTTAAACCCCTAAAATATTGCCTTTCGAATTTTCTTTCTTAAAGTTTAAGCAACTTGATAACAATACGGTGTATTTATGCTAAAATGCTTACTTTTAAATTTTATGTTCATTCATAGCAATTTATACTAGTATTTACCAAGTCCAAGTGAAAGGAAACTGAAGATAAGAAGATTGTGTTTCGCGAAACTTCCTCTTGGGAAGGGGGTTCTGTTTTATATAGAAACGTTCAAAATACTGTCTTATGTCAAATCAGAGCTCAGGCACCGGGGAGAAATAACCCTTCCTTGATACACAGCAAATTATAATTCAAATTTACAAAATGCATGTGAATTCGAATTATGAAAAATGAGAAAATATGAACAGATTAATAGAAAAAAAAACAAGATATTCGATTTGAAAACACTTTTTTCATTTTTGTACATTTTATGATTCAGTTGGTCATGGGGAAGATGTCAAATTCAATGGCTCCATATTCAATATCACTCCAGTTTGTTTTACTTCAGTTTATGAAATACTCGGCCGCCTCGTAGAGGGATACACTATTATTTATATTTTAAAAATACTATAATTTTTACAAGTATATTAATGTCACATTTAGAAATAGAATGCCCAAGAAACAATACCTTTGCTATGATATTCTAACCGAAAATTTCTGTTTCGAATTAGGTCACTTGCGCAGCATTTATGTAGCACTGTTTATTGTCTTTGTTTGATACTTTGATTCATTATAAATTAATAATGACTAGATATTTACTAAGCTTAGCGTCAAGACCAAAGAAGCAGAAAAGACTATACTCACTCGATAAGCTAAAGATATAAGATAACAACTTTCTAATAGATTTACTGTAGGTGCCCTATATATATCCACTAGCTTTACATTTGTTCGCTCCAAAGGTACAAGAATAATGACCCCTAATAAAAATCGAACTCTTTACACTAGCAGTAATCTGAAAGACTGTATTGATAACCATTTCTCTAAGAATTAAAAGTAGGGGTATAACAAAAGAAATATTTGTCTTTATTCACTTTAGAAAATAACCCAAACAACTGTCTATCGCCAACAAAAAATAATTTGGGATTCTTATTTACATCTACGAATGGAACAAACCGAAATATAATTAAAAAAAAACATAAAAAAAACGTTTTCTTGGTAAATGAAAACTTATTTTTTAACTTTTTTTATCCTAATCTTATTCTTCTTCATTGTGTAAAATATGTCTTTATTGATTTTACATACAAGCGCATTATTTTACACACATCATTTCCCTACAATGCACTGAACAGCTTCGGCAAAAGCATAAAAACTAAATGTCATCCTTCTGGAAATTCCACATAGAAAATGAACTCTTCGAATATTCATTTTTATTTCTATTTAGAATACTCGTAGTTATTTGTTATCTTGATGGGAAGGGAAAGACTTATCACACTCTAAGTAATGAGATTTGAAATACAAAAAGGAATACAATATTGTATTTCTATAGAGGAAGATTTGGCAATTCTTTGATTTTGATATGGAACTCTGTATTTAAGTTAAACCA